TTTTGCTGCAATTTGATTGGCGATATTTCGGAGTATGTGAATCTCCATTGCCGAAGATATAATTACACAAATGACACTAAGTATAAGAGGAAGGAAAGCAATATTATTTTATTCAAACGCTTCTGGGGCTTCACGAAATTTGCACTAAAACTCCATTAAGAGAATACATTTCAAACCAGAACGAATGTTACTCTTCTGTCAATATAAATACGACTGTTTTACGGTTTGATATTATTTATAATTACACATATTTAATACGCTGACACATCTACGAATAAACTAAACGAAGACGTATTATTTCTGTGTCTCTGTTTATCCTCGGCTGTCGGCGTCCATTTCCGCCCTATGTAGAATCACTTTTAAAGTTTTGGGTCACATAGCACATTTTTGGGATGTGTGAGTCGGCGAGGAAAAGTGTGGCCCATGTGGATAATCACATGTTGTCTAGGCAAAACGGGGGTGGTAACATGGTTTGGAGTGGAGAGGTTCGGAGAGCGGTCCTATCCAATCAGAAAGGGGCCTCCGATGCCCCAACTACAGCGACTTCAGCCACTGGACAGCAGCACTCCCCACCACTCAACACGCCAATAACTTCCACGCTTACCCGTTCTCCCACCGACAGCTCTGGAAAATTACGGAGCAGTGGAAGAAAGACACAGGAAATCTACTTCTCCTTTACATACACGTTACACTGAAAGTCAGTGCCGGCCAGTGCTTTCCAGACATGTAATATAGCGTATATCCTATTTAAATTGATCAAGTAAGCGCTGATATTATCAAGTCGATAACGGTTTATGCTTACTCCGCTTAGTAATTTACAGCAGACATCCAACTTCTGAAATTTCAGCGCCTGCCCATCATTGTTAACTTTCTAAGGCTTACGTCGGTTCCAGATTGGCATATATTTGTTTTCAGCTGTGTCCATATTTATGTTATAACATTGTGGTAGCGTAGTGGTTGAGGTGCTACGCTATACGCTATAAGCCGGAAGGTCGCGGGTTCAAATCCCGATGAGGTCATTGGATTTTTTCAATTGATCTAATCCTTCCAGTCGCACTATGGACCTGGGGTCGACTCGGCCTCTAACAGAAATGAGTACTAGGAATTAATTAAATAATTTTCCTGGGGAGTAAAGCGCGGCCGGCGCGTAAGGTTGACAACCTTACCGCCATCTTTGAGCCGATTGTCTAGATAATGTGGGACCCTCAACGTCTCACAAACCTGTGGGCCTTCACGGCCTATTATAGAGATAGCTTTACTTTACCACATGTCTACATGCTACAATATGCAAGGAAAATGTAGAATCATCTTCATTACATGAGACTGTACGAACATTCATCTTGCAATTTTCAGAAGCTTTCCGGTAGCTGGTTGTACGTATATACATGTATACAAGATTAACGTCCGTCGTTGGAAGCCGTAACCAAGCAACAACTGGTGGAGACACTGGAGAATGAAGAGACTTAATACAAGCTGTAGTGAATTGTAGGTTATGTGAATTAGTGATAGCGTTATAGTTGCTTGCAGTTACGAAGCAGCTAAGAAATTCAATTACCAATCCAAACACCGTCTATAGTCACTGTACCACGTGACAATATATTACGTTGTAATTTTATCGTGCGTATTATATATTTAATATTCTAATACATTATAGTAATATGGGAACAAGAGTAAAAATAATTTATTATTATAAAGAGTGTGTGGGGGAATATTTAAGCCTAACACGCAGGATGTGGCTTAAGGACAGAGAAATTTACGCAGTGAGGAGCGTCATAATATGTACTCTAAGTAATATTGCGCAGTTAATTCAAGGAGGGTGTGGTGGGTCGGGCATATCGAAAATCGTAGAGATTAGACATGCACAAGTATTTGGTCATAAGACCTGAATAAAGAATAACAATTTGAAGGTCTATGTGCAGAATTTGATCTTGCAGAAATTGTATCTTAGTGCTACTACGGGAGTAAAACCAGAGTTCACGCGACTGTTTTCCTGATATCACAATTCAGTCGTTTGTCCCAATTAGTATTTTCTCTTGTAATTTTTAATATAACCTGATTATTGACATCTGGCTGAGAGAATAGTCTTGTGCATTTGTTGCTCCTGGGTATGTTTCGAAAACTTCCGAGGAGCTACAATCTGAAACATTCGACTAAACGTGCCCCGAGTACAACGTAAGAAGCTTTCATTTTTCACTTCAACGGGTATATGCGGAAGCTTAAAGAACTGGATATAACGGGAAGTTATGAGGAATATCACACTGGCACGTAGGCAGATTTGGCACATGTGCCACTGGAAGTACCTAGGAAATGATGTAGGTACATTATAGAATCGATACATGCAAGAAGAAGGTTGGAAACCTCAGTGATTTTTTTTCATAAAATTGTTCAGAATTCCTGCTTCAGGGTCGTACGTTGCAAATTGAGACGAAGGTGCGGAAACTTCTTACCAAGCATAAAGCTCTCCTTCTCACTTCCTTGAAACGTAAGCTGGCACTTTTACCACTGTAAACCATCTCACTCCTATGGACTTCTAAATACACCCAAACCTGACATCCCCCTTATACAAGTAGTTACCTATATTGATTCTCCCTATGAATAGGAGGGGAGGAGAATTAATTACACAGAGAACAAGGTACTTGTTCTTATTTTTTTTTTCTTGTCACTGCAGCCCCCGTGGGCCTAGGCCTACCTCTATGAACTTCTCCGTTCACTTCGGTTTTTCTAGATCTTACACATTCGGTAGGACTCCTTGGGCGGGTGATCAGCTCGTCGCAAGGCCTCTACCTGTACACAAACACGGAAAAACGCACACACACAAACTAAACATCCATGCCCTGAGTGGGATTCGAACCCGCGATCCCGGTTTCCAAGCGAGCGAAGACAGTACATGCCTTAGACCGCTCGGCTACCGTGACCGGCTCATTCTTCTTATAACACTATCAATTATGACGGAAAATGAAGAGTGGGTGTTAAAGAAGAAAAGGACCATGCATACTACTGAAGAGCTCAGTCAGGAGGAGGAGGAGAAGGAGAAGAAGAAGAAAATTGAGTAGTAAGATACTTCTGATGTTTGTTCAACAAGGTTAGATATTGTTTTCGAAGAAGTGATTAGAAATTGATTGGCTCAGACAAATATGTTTTTGCAGATCTGTAAAATGTGTTAGTAATATTGCATTACACAGAAAGTAATTAAGAATTATGCTCAATTATGCTCATGGAAATAATTGCGAAGAATTATTTGTCCAACACGGAACGTCATATTATTCGCAGCCTACCAAACACGCAAACACTGCTACTTTTTGAAGAGCTAAAATAGATTTAGCTTTTGTATATTCAGGCCTACATGTATGGCCAACTGGATTTTTTAATCAGCTTATATAGCAGTGTAAATATACTGCTCAACTGTTCGTCGCATGAAGTTTCTCCGACGCCGAATCATTAAACGCGCCGCTTTCGAAGAACGTATAAGTCGCTCGGAAAAGCGTTTATTTTGTTGAAACAAAATAAGTTTATGGACGAATTTTGATCACCCTCTAAAATATACAAAAGGAAGAAAATAATAAATGTTTCATAGATTTACTTTTAGAAAGTATCGAAATTTTAAGGAGACAAATTTATAAGTTCTTCATGAAACAACTTAAAGCATTATAATTAAAGTAGTTATATGGAACCCTAAGTTTACAAACAAAATGTAAAACCATTGAATTCTTACATACGATTTACATGGTTATCAGGGGAATAAGAAAAAAACTGATAAAATAATAAGACCTTCTGGAAAGTACTCATCACATGGTGCAACAGGAGCCCATTACGTTTCAGTTTCTGCAGGAAAATCCTGCAGAGGTGAGGATCAGTAGTTCAAATTATTATTTTTTTCATCACTTTAAAGACCAGGAATTTGAAATACGTGTATTCGACTGGAGCATGAAACAGCTAACCTTATTATATTAAACTTGTGCAAAGTCCTTCAGGAGATCTTATTTTCTAGACAGAATATATGACATGTAAGATTTGAGGCTTTCACGGCGGTGACTATGAAGAAAGCAGTCTTCTGGGATTTAGCACCGTGTATATGTGGTGTTAACCGACGTTTCGGAGGAACGTATCGCCTCCATCTTCAGGGTAGAAGAACTGTCAGTCTGCTTTCATCGGTTCTCACGGTCTCTTCGCTTGCAGATTTCTTATATTTTTTCTTCTACACTGAAGATGGAGGCGATACGTTCCTCCGAAACGTCGGTTAACACCACATATACACGGTGCCAAATCCCAGAAGACTGCTTTCTTCAGAATACATGACACTTTAAAATATTTATAAAAAAAGGCAAAAAGTCTACCGCCTAGTCCAAGAAGTATTATGAATGAAAAACAAATTAAAAAAACAAAAGATACTTAAATACACAATCCTTCTATCGTCGTGTGGAATTCATATTATCTGAGGATTACTCTTAATTTTCTTAAATGTTTTTATATAGAGGGTGATTCTAAATTATTGTCGCTGTTTCCGTGGCCTGTAATGTTCTAACCGGGAACAACAAAGCAAAGGTGCCCGTGCTGAAGTTGTTCAAAATTCTGCAGTAAGAACATTTCTAGAGATGGATTTTCAAATTCCCTGGTAAAAAAGTAAAGCTGTCCCTGTAACAAGTCATGAAAGCCCATAGGGTTGTGAGACGTTGAGGGTCCCACATTATCTAGACATTCGGCTAAAAGATGGCGGTAAGGTTGTCAGCCCTACGCGCCGGCCGCGCTTTAATCCCCAGGAAAATTATTTAATTAATTTCTGGCACTCATTTCTGTTAGAGGCTGAGTGAACCCCAGGGCCATAGTGGGGCAGGAAGGATTGGATCAATTGAAAAAATCCAGTGTTTTGAGAAGTATAGGCGAGGGAAACCCCGATACTACTTTAGAATAACTCTGTATAGCACAAATTTACATTATTGATGATCAAGCGTGGATTTATTTGAAGCAATGGAATACATTCAATGAAATGCCTGTGTATTTTTCTTATCTTGGTCCCTTGTGTCTTTATGGCTTCTTTCACAACCAGCAGCCATTTTTTACTAATTCTGGAACCGTCGGCTACAACACGTGCGCGTGTGTGCGTGTGTTCAAGTATATGACGCCCTTGTGGCCATGCTAACAGAGGAATATTTCTCTTACTACAAGTTACATTTCTTAACAAATCTGTAATTCATTCTGGGCCCTCCAATGTCTCTTCCTTTTCTTTGATCTGCAGCAAGAACATGAAGAGAGAGATAGACTCTTGCATCATCTGTGAACATAAATATTTAATACTCCTTCTGTGTCTAAATGGTTATGAAATTATTTCATAAGTGTTAAGGCACAGTGTCCCTTTCAGTGAACATTATGCTATGTTATGCAATTTATATTGTTAGATGTGAAAACAACACAGCAAGCCACGAACAAACCCTGGACGACATCAAGAACCTCCTCATCAAGATAGACAGGCGGCACAAAATCTGCCCCATACAAGAAGGACGATAGGAGTAAGGACACGAACCTACGTGGTTTAAAATATTTTAACTATTGACAATAAAGGTTTTTTAAATAACATCTAGAAACTTTTAAAAACTTTACAACACCAGGAAGCTGCTGTGATTGTGAAACGTTCGACTTTATGCGTACTGTGCATTATAGGATATAAGTGTATGTATTTTAAATCAAAACACCTATTGTGATAGTAGTTTCCAGTTTGTAATGATGTTCCCTCTGAAGATGGCCCGTAAGGACCGAAACAAGTAAGGGAGATAAGTTGGGTGCAGTGTGACAGCAACGTGAGTGTTATACACCTGATGATGGCCGTCTGAGGCCGAAACATGTAGTGTAGAGGAGCAAGATCAAGGACACATAATATATTGTTTGCACTTGGGACGGAATTTGTATCATTATATTATTTTTCGTATGGAGTGCAGCAGGAAGCTTAAATATAATATTGTAAGTTTTAACGTAGTAAAACGTATATGTCACATTTGGACGGAGTGGTTTGTATTTATGAGTATCACTCATTTCTTGAACATTTTTGAAGGCACATTTTATCAGCTTTCAACACCCTATTGAACATGCATCAAATCTCGCAGTGTAAGAAACCACAGAAAGGAATGGAATATTTGCTCGAAAATAAGACAGCGGTAGCGTTAATGTGACCATTCTCTTCAAGCTAATGACAGTGTGGAGCTATAACTTCACAGGTACAAACGGCTACATCGTGTGGGACTTAAGCAAATGGGAAACTTTATGTTTAGGATAAAACTCGAAAGCTAACCTGTAACATGCCCCGGGGGCCCATAGGGCTATGAGACGTCGAGGCTCCCACATTTTCTAGACATTCGGCTCACAGATGGCGATGCGGTTGTCATACTTACGCACCGGCCGCGCTTTACCCCCAAGGAAAATATTTACGTATTACTACAGAAACCTTCTTTAAATGTACCTTGAAGAAAGATCAATCCAGCTGTTCTCTCTTCACATTCAAATATGGAGGCAGGTCGTTCTGACTAAGAAAATATGATGACGTGGACGTTTGTTTTCTACGGGTATTGTGGTGTACACATCATAACTTGATGGTTTCATTAAACTATTTCACGAAGAAATTCTTACATTTGTTTTTATAAAATACAAAATTATATCTTACGTTCATCATGGTCGCCTTGGATACGGGGACAAATTTCCCAGCAGTCAGCGCTAATTCCTTGTTCGCCATCTTAATGACGAAACTGAGACAGCGCATGAACGGAAGGGGTGTGCCCACCCAGTCACAGCCCCAGGCGGCCTCTCTCACTCTCTCAGCCTGCAACGTCGTAATGAGATTAAAAAATGCTTCAAGAAACTTGTACTCAGAATATGTCAGCACATGAATATATCACTCCATAATTTTTCTGCTCTAATTGAACTTGTGGTATGATGGCATTAGACTAGTTACTATAGGATTCTGACGATGGTGTATAACACACAGAGATATTGTGTTTTCGGACTTTATCAATCGTACTGGTTTTAAGATAACTAAGAAAAACATGACGTTTCGGAAACTGGATCTGTTTCCGTCCTCAGGTGAGGGAAAACACCTATTCTGTTGGGTCACTGGTCCAGTAACTGAGGCTAGGTCTTTCTAAGGGACCCAACAGAATAGGTATTTTCCCTCACCTGAGGACGGAAACAGATCCAGTTTCCGAAACGTCATAATTTGTCTTAGTCATCTTAAAAGCAGGATGATGGATAAAGTCCGAAAACCCAATATTTCTGTGTATCGCATTTGTTGTTCCATACATTTATAATGCATTTTATTGGTAAATGTGACGAGAATAGATTCTTTGATGGAAAATAGCTAGGGTTCTCCTGAATATTCCTCTGTTACTTCCACTGTAAACAGAGGCTGTAAAATTGTTTTATTATGAGACCTTTAAGTGCTCACAATTCTTCACGTAATGAATATGTAAATGTTAATTTTTTAATCTTAACGGATTCTGTTCGTCTTCGCTGTTCTTTTTTTCAAGGAAGGGCGAGGAATTGTTAAACCACAAGCTGGAAGATCCCTCCTTTATTTTTTGGCTCGTCACTACGTATTCAGTACAATCGCAGTTCCCCTCGTATCAAGAGGCCGTCCCCTCATTCATAAAAATTACGATTCACCTTGCCGTGATGGATGTGCGTTGTAAAGTAATTAGGCCTACATCTGTCTAACATTTTCTACATTACTCTACCTGTTTTTCTCTTAGGTAAAAGTAAGCTATCGCAGTAACAGGCCGAAAAGGCCCATAAGATTGTGAGACGTCGAGATTCTCAAATTTTTTTAGACTATCGGCTCACAGCGATAAATTTGTCAGGCTTGGGCACCGGCCGCCGTTTACCCCTCAGAATGATTACTGGTACTCATTTTTCTTAGAGGCTCAGTCGACCCCAGGGCCATAGTGCGGATGGAAGGATTAGGCCAGTTGAAAATTCCACCTCATCGTGACTCGAAACCTCGACCTTCCGCCTTGTAATATAGTGCCTCAACCAACTACGCTACCGCGTGCCCCTTACCTGTTTTTCTGTTACCAAAGAGAATGTGGTATGAAACACGTGTTTGAAATGATTATATTCAGTACACTGAAAATTACGTATATCTACTGGTCTATTAAGTTTTTTCATGAAGCAGCTATATATGGGCTGGATGACAGAACCAGAATTCGAATCCCGGTGAAGGCAAGGATTTTCTCTTCTCCACGTCGTCCAGGCCGGTTTTGAGACTGATTCATCTTCTGTCAGATGGGTACGTGGGGTAACATGGACGGGGTTTGAAACTCACCGGTCATCTCAAATTAGTGCCAAATTTTATAAAACGTGGATCTATGCATCCACTCCCCCATACGCCTTCATGAATTAGTGTTTAATCACTTAAGCTCAGGGACGTTATTTCTGTACCTTATGAAGTAGGTACAAACTTGTGAAATGTTCAGATAAATTACTCCTTTACTCTGTGATACTTTCCTGGTGGCTCAGCTCACTTCCAAACCAGCAGAACACGAACACGGTGATTGAGAGGAGGACATACACTAAAACCGACTCAGACAGCTGCGCTGGATTCCCCCATCGCTGGAACATTGCGAAATGAATTCTATCTTAATTACTCTCACAATCGGCTCTATTCAATAAACGAAAACTAAATTATTACAACGATCTCACTGAGTTTGATTAGATGAGTTAGGAATGTAGCATGCATATTGCACATTAATGGGAATACGTAATGGAAAGATGCCACTAGAGACCTGAGCGTAAATGGCAAGGCAACAATCAAATAACCTTGAAAAAGAGGATGCGAGAGTATGGGCTGGAGTGATCTGGATGAGAAAATAAGGTCCAGTGGATGGATTCTGTGAGCTCTGTATTGAAACTTCAGTTTCCTTAAACTGAAGCAATGTTATCCCAAGAACTACACTTAGTTAATATGCAGTTTCCGACACAGCAGACTATAAATAGCCTCATTTATCTTACGGCGCACTATGCTTTCCATCTCCATAGACTCTTCAGCAACACAATTACATTCACCCTCACACATTCTTCTTGAAGAGCTGCCAGTTGCGCAGCTACTCAAGAGCATCCAACCATTTGACGAAACCCGAAGCTTTATTTCCGTGTTCACAAGAGCTCTCCACTGGTCCCTATCCTGAACCAGACCAAACCAATCCATACCATCACATCCTATCTCTCTAAGATCCATTTTAATATTGTCCATTATCTACAAAATATATTTAAATTGACTCTCAAATGTATTAAAATATATTTCAATTAAATTCATGTTACATAGTACGATTTCGAAGAGAAGAGAAAAAGTGGACAAAAATATTAAATGTAAAGTTGCATTTAGTTTCCTGAGAATATTTACGAATTGCGTTAAATTCATGTCAGTTTAAAAATACAGAAGTAACGTTTCAAAGTAACTATATATTATTTGCATGTTTACCGTTTAATTTAGCTTTCAGCTTTCAACCCAGTCGAGCGTAGAAACTGTTCAAACTTTTCAGCACATTTTGCAGTTGCAACCTTTACTATTTGTCACGTTGAAGTAGAGAGGACGGATATATCACAGTGAAAGGACGGGTGAGAATGAATGCCATGGAGGGAGGAATGTCTCGGCGAGGCAGAGCGTGGTACAGTTCTTTGAGGGAGGGCCTTCCAACGTGTCTTCTGCTGTACATATCCCTACAATGTCTAGACATACAGAGGTCTTATTTTTTTTAATGCTAGTGGGGTGGGCCTAAGTCCCTTGTACTGCGGACACTTCTGGTCTATTGTACCAGCCCTAGATGATAATTGAGGGAGATTGTGGAGCAATTAGTGGAATAAAGATTGGCAGGGGAAACCGAAGTACTCGGAGAAAACCTGCCCCAACGCCACTTTGTCCACCACAAATTCCACTTGGCCAGACCCAGGATCGAACTCGGGCCGCCGCAGTGGGAAACCAACGACTAACCGCTTGAGCTATGGCGCGGCCCACAGAGGTCTTATATGTGCAATGTATAGGTCTATATAAATAATATTGCCATGTGTGGCGTATATATGTAAACACTATAAATGTACGTGCATATAGATTTGACACTAAGTGACTTTGGAAGAAGGCCGTGCACACAAAGATAAATCTGCAAGTAGGTAAGCTGAAGCGAAGTGTCCAGCCATGAGACCCAGACGGCGCTCAGCATTAAGAATGATTGATTTCATTCGTAACGCGAGCCTCCACTCTCTGCAATGGTGAGAACGTATTATATATCGGCCCAATTGTTCTTTGCCCCTTACACTTACCCTGGAGATGGTAACAGGAATGTTCAACACAAGACTGAGCTGAACTGCGGAAGTGGAAGTTGTATAATAGGCTCAGATCAAGGAAACAAAAGGCAACAATTCTTCTAGTCAAATTACTGTACGTTATAGATAAAATATTGTGTACAATTTACAGAGAATTACCAAAACAGCTGTGTATGCAGTAATGCATAGGCCGCCCATTAAAATGAAAAAATAACCAGCGAAGTATGGGCTGAACATCTCCTCAATTGCATGAATAAACCTGTAAATAGAAATGACGAAAAATCAGTGTGTCGCTACATAAGATCATTGAATCGGTGGGCTAAATTGTGTCAGCATACATGTTTATTGCGTGTGTGTGAATCCAAGAGAATTTAATGCAGTAGATGATATTGTGTGCCGGTCACGGTAGCCGAGCGGTCTAAGGCGTGTACTGTCTTCGCTCGCTTGGAAACCGGGATCGTGGGTTCGAATCCCACTCAGGGCATGGATGTTTTGTTTGTGTGTGTGCGTTTTTCTGTGTTTGTGTACAGGTAGAGGCCTTGCGACGAGCTGATCACCCGCCCAAGGAGTCCTACCGAATGTGTAAGATCTAGAAAAACCGAAGTGAANTGCTGCGGGCGGGGTGGGGGGGGGGGGGAAGATGATATTGTGCAACATACACATGAAAACTGCTCCTATTGCAACCAAACACATCTTCTGTTCTCGGTATTACTCCAAAATATCCAGACTTAATGATATTATCTGTGAGACAATTTATATGTCCAGTAACACTCCGTCCCATTTCGTATACATTTTGTTCGCCGGGGTGCAGATATTTTAGGTTGACTGTCATTTTCAGTTAATGTCTGTCGCAAAGGCATATGTAAATTAGATGGAAGTTTAAGTAGGCAGACCTTGGTGGTCATGCAAAAAAGATTTGGTTTAATCATCAATGAAGCATGGAAAATACTGTATAGTTTTCTTACAACAGGACCACCCATAGTGGCGTATTCCTGTTCTGTAACAAGGGCCCGGCACTCATTAAGACTGCACACAGATATCTAATACAGAAATCTCCATTTATTTCGTTATCATGCAAGAAGGGCTCAATCTCTTTTTCTACAAGTTCCCACAAATTGCTTTAGTATTCAGATATCCAAGCAGCCATAAAGGACTGAATAAATACGAAGGCTCACAAATGCAAATACGGACTGAGCAATGCTGGAATGAAAGTAATGCTTAGGTAGACGGTTTCAAAATCGTCCGTCACCACAAATATCCTAACTGAGTTTCTTCGAATATTTTGCCAGTCCATCTAGACAAACGGAACCATATTTCAAATTAGGATACAACGACTTGCGTCCGCATCCTTTCAAATTAATTATTAATCAGTCATCCTTTCATCGAACGAGATATATTCTGAGCTACAGAGGTACTGCCCTTAATTACAACAAGAATGAGAAGGGTTATAGAAGGACCGTAAATATGTTTCCGGCTGAACTTGTTGGAAAGTTGTGGCACGGCACTTTAAATGNAATATTCTCTCTCTCATTTAACGTCTATCTATTACAGTTTCGATATTACAGAGCAGCTTCCATTTACAGTTCTTTGCACGAAATCGTTAAGAGACTGCAAAGATTGATCAAAATGTGTGTTAAATCAATTTATTTAATATTTTAAGATGACAGGGCAGCACGCGGTAGCGTAAATGGTTGAGAAACTACTCTACAAGCTGGAAGGTCGGAGGTTTAATTCCTGACGAGATCACTGGATTCTCAATAGACCTATTTTTCCCAGAAGCACTAGATTAGACTCAGCCTCTAACAGAAATGAGTTCCAGGAATCTTCTTAGGGGTAAAGTAAAGTAAAGTAAAGTAAGGCTAACAACCTCACCGCCATCTGTGAGCCGGTTTTCCAAAAATTGTGGGAGCCTCGACGTCTCACAGCCTTATGGGCCTTCACGGGCTGTTACAGGGAGAGCTTCATCTCTCCAAGGAGCCAACTTTAGTGGAATCCTCTCAGACCTCAAATCTATGATGGAATCGAATCCATTTTCCGAAGCGCCGTGAATGCTGAATATATTCCAGATAACTGACAATGTAGTGTAGAATATCCTTATAGTCAGTTACACGTTCTTTTTATATCGAATTGAAAATAAAATTTAACGGTCTGAACTAAAGCCAAGAATTATCCAGGCTATCAGTTTACCGAATATTCGGTGGGAGCAGTAATTAGTCTAAATTTATATTTATAACTTATATGACCTAATTATAAGAGATACTGCCCAGATGGGCAAGAGAACATCACAAGAGCTCAACCAAAATCTGCGTAAAGTGGTTTTTCTATCGATTTCCATGATCTACATTTTGATTTGAGGCACAACCTGTATACAGAAGAATATATACACAAAAAAAAATTATAAATTATATTTACTGTATGATTAGCTGGTGATGACGTATGCAGTCGTTGAGCTGCTCCTGCATGCGGCAGAACACTTCCTGAGACGTCTGGACTTGTCTACCTTCATTTCGGCCAGTCTCAGCTCGCGACTCCTGCGCTGGTGTGTCGAATACCTGTCTGATATTGAGGAGGTTCGCTCTCAGCTTTTCCAGCTGACTGCACGCGATGCATACCAATGTAGCATAAGTGGAAGGCACGCCGTAGAAGAAACATGCCCATTGAATAGTAGCGATGACCTACAAAAACAGTGAAATAAATGTACAGAATCAAATTGTGAACGTCCATTGATCTGAAAGAACAATAAATTGAATGGTTTTACCAAAACAATTCCATTTATGTTCATATAAAGCATTTCATTTTTTTTTAAATCCTTAATTTTATTTGCAGACTGAAATCCAAAGGTCTCGAAATGTTCGCTAGCCGACTGAAAGAAACGCTCATTACCAAATCAAGCGATGAACTCGCACAGAATTCCTAACTTCGTTCACAATTAACTCAATTTGTTTTTTGTGGGGATATTAAGAGATTACAACACTCGCAGCTAAGAAGGGAACACACATCACAAGCCCCGGTTTACACAGAATATAAGAAAAATGACCCCATAGTGGAAGAACCACACACGAGTTTTAATTATGACACATAAGATGAATAATCTTAACAAGTTTTAGTGTGTGTAAATTCATTATAGTTGACAAATACGCACTTTTTAAATACTTTTTAATTATTTTATAAAGACAAACAATGAAATAGATTAGCGTAATTAGGGCACCTGATGATGGCACTATGTTGCCGAAACATGTCGTGAAGTAACAGGTGAAATTGAGTGCACTACAAGACGGCAACTGTATACATATCATGGACGATATTAAGGGATGTTTGTATCTTCGGTTTGACACTGGCTTTCGTAGCCAATAAGGCAATACATCTTATTTATGTTCTGAGTGTTAAAACGGCCTAGTAGTATCGTTTGTATCCAGCACAATACATCATTTTACGTTGGAAACTTTTTCATCAATTCCAGATCATATAGTACTGTACTATTTCATGTAGGACCATAAGTGTGCGTGTTATTACAACTGGGTGATTGTAGTTTTCACATAATTTTCATTTTGTTTTACAAAATATTTACGTCGTTTTGACTATTATCATTAATAATACTGTAAAGCTATTTATATTAATATTAGGTAAAGCTAAAGTTGTCCCTGTGCTTAACTAATTAAGCACTATGCCATGAAGGCGTATGGGGAGTGGATGTACAGATCCAAGTTTTCTTGACCTCGGCACTAGCTGGAGGTGAGTGCTCAGCTTCGTGTCCCGACCACTGTACCCATTGGGTTGGAGGCTGAGTGGACACCAGAGTAGGCATGAACTTCGTGAAGTAGAGGAATTTCTTGACCCTACCGAGACTCGATCTTCGACTTCTCGGTCGTCCAACCAGTAGACATTCGATATACCGACTACGCTATCCCGGCTCTTATAATACTGGTGTTAGTCGGTATATCGAATGGCTATTAGTATTAATATTAATCTCGTTTGGACATTATCCTACTTGATTGACTACAGAATGCTTCTTGGAGCCGAAATGATCTCTGGGAATTAATGCTGTACTGTAGAAATATGTTATAAGTTTTCGGCCACAAATTTAGTCTCTAATAGAGAATCACATATACGGCCATACAGGGATACAAGGCACAGCTCCTGAATCATTACTGTTTATTCTTCAAGTCAACATTCATAGGTGGACAATAATTTAGAGCTCTATTGGACCAATTATTATTCAGCATTCAAACAAAACACGTGATTAGGCACTCGCTTTATAAAAGATTCCGAAGGCATAAACAGCTTTCTTCACAGTCCCCGCCGTGAAAGCCTCAAATCTTACATTTTTCTTGTTCTTGTCCTCGTCTGGTATAAACTGCATTCTGCTCCACGCAACATAGAGCAGACAGCAGAAAAGTATTGCGCTACACACACACTGTTACCTGTGCTATGTTGATCAACTCGTAGGTAGGGCTTTTCGCTGTATCGAAAGGGTACCACGTATGATAGACCATGGAATGGTTGTCACTTGAAAAGATAAGCATTAAATTTTTAGTCCCGTTGACAATAACGGCGGCCCCTATAATAAGAGTGGTGAACCTCTGGATACGTGGAATCCAGGCAGTCATTGCCCGGGATCCGGTGTCAGGGTCAGTGTGGGGCAAATCCTCCCAGATGAATGCATCCGTGAGCCTCAACGTCCTCACTAGAGTAGCCCTCCGGAACCTGCAGCAAAATACAATTATTCGTTACATCAGAAGATATTTAAGCAGAATCAAAACGTGAAAATTAATCTACTTTAGCCTTTCTGTGACTGTTAAATTATAAATATTCATATACTTTAGATATAATGAGTGTAAAGTTACAAGCTGTATTAATGAATAAGAATTCAGTATATTGTAGAATATTATATTTAAGCATCCTGTTGCACTCTACACGATAAATGATACAAACTCCGTCCCAAGTGCAAACAATATATATTATATGTCTTTGATCTTGTTCTCTTCCACACTACATGTTTCGGCCTCTATCGGCCATCATCAGGTGTATACTCTTAACGTTGCTGCCACACTGAACCCAGTCTAAAATTTAACATTTAAAAACACATTTTTATTCTCTTCGTATTATCAACATCTACCTCGTTGATATGTGTCTGGTATGTAGATTATATTGCACACGTCAAATTTGATTTTCCTGTAATAGCACTATAAAATCTTTAGTTATGATTTTAAAATCCTTTAAAATTTTCTCTAAATTTTAAATTTAAAATTTAAAAATTATTAGGGTTACTCGCCCTACGTCTAAAGTGCTGGAGCGGCTAGTTCTTGTTTCCACACTGTACAGGTGTTATTCTGTGTAGTCTTCCTGTGTGCGTGCCGCTGCTTGTCTTTACTACGTGTTCCCAAATTTCGCGTTTATGCTATGTTCAACACGATAAGAATTTCTCGAATATTTCATAAGCCACTAATAAGTAAATAATAGCATATTCATGAAGTAACTCCAGAAACGTCATTACCTGAAATATAATTGAGTGCAACTTGCAGCTGAAGATATAATAAAAAACATGGCTGCATCCACTACTTCGTTGAGATCCTCAATATCGTGGTAGATACTGAGAAACATAGCAAGAATACTGCTATAAGCACATACACAGGACAATACAATACACATATGATAACACTTTGAAACAGAAGAGTCAAATAAAGGAACGCCTCCTATATAGAAATAGTAGTTGCAGTAACGAAATCGGCTCTCAGCCCGAGAATTACTTTCCATTTTAATCTGTATCAGCACTGGGAAAAAATAAATTATTGCTCAAGATATACAGGTACAAATATTGAACTCTTCTTCTATAGAGCTTATGGCCTCTACTGATGCATCTGGTGCTGAGAAGTTTCACTTTCGTACTGGGCTTCAACTGTAGTGCTTCCTTTTAAAAACGTTTATGACGAAAGAACGGTTTATACTGGAGCTTGTAGAGTATTGATCACTAAATTGCCTTTTCCGTTTAGTAATGGATGTGGAAATTGTATGTTTCTTTTCTGTGTACACACAAATTCATACAATCGAACTCAGTGACAAACCGTGCTACACATTTTGTATCCACAAATGTTTATTATTATTATTCAGTCGACATAATCCTGGTATAAACACACCATGCCTTCGCGTGTAATAGGCGTGTCGGGCTATTGTGGTCACCGTCAAGTACATAGATCTTTTGCAATCACCCTCTATTCTACTTGATTTACCTCCCTACATAGGTCACTGATTACACAATGAGGGTGTTTTGTGATTGTATATTGTTTATATAATGTCCTTGTATTATAAAATATATTAAATGTTAAAAGTCAAATTTTTAAAATATTAAAATATTCTACGAATTGAGTTATATATAAAAAGAATAAATACGAATATATATACGGTATATATTCTCCTTTTGCTTTATGCTGTTGTGTCCACTTTTGCTTTCCGTTTTCAAATTATTATGTAGTGTTCGACAACGTGTGTTCCTGATTTTCGTGACCTTATGATGATAGTGTGCATCTATGTTGACCTACGTGTGTGTGTGTTGTGGTGTTTCCTTGTTCTTTCCTTTTCTTCCCATGACCTGCCTTTATGTGGGCTGGGTTATCTGCACGAATGGCTGTGTGGGACATCTACAATCTTTAGTTGAGAATTCTTCCATCGAGCTGATATTATCCAAAGATTTTTAGTCTTGGATTTCAGAAATAACGTTGAATCTTTGAGAATCTTTTGCACACAAAAAAAACGATTAATTTCTGATATAAATTGTGACATGTTACGCAACGGAGAATATTCATTACTTTCATATTAATAACATATGAGAAAAGATTCCGAATGTAACCGGATTATAAATATACGTGTAAGGAATGTGAAATATAAATTCTACACATATATTCTGTCAAAGTGATTTTAGTTGGCCACCAGATATGAACATAATTATAATAACAATGATAAACGAAACAAATCAAAATAATAATTCATTCTTATTTATTCATGTGCAAATTTGTTATCCCATATTCCAATAACTGTGTTAGCATTAGTAAGACGAAAGAAAGAACAATACACAAACAAAAGCTAACATAAGACAAATTGTATAGTAGCAGTAGTAGTGGTTGTAGTAAGAGTAATAGTAGTAGTAGTAGTAGTAGCAGTAGTAGTAGTAGTAGTAGTAGTAGTAGTAACAGTAATTTCAATAATATCAAAGTTATCATTAGGAGGTGAGAGAAGTAAACATTTACAATATTGATGCCATCAGGCCACGAGAGGAAACTATATACCATAGATAATTAAATTTATATATAATATACATAGTCTGCACACACACGCAGAGTACAACCAATGTTTACTACGATGAGAGGACAATTATAAAATATAATTAAAGGGAACAATTTGGTCTTCAATTTCTCCAACGTCCCTGCAAACAATAGAAGCCCCTGAAGCGCCTCTAGCACAGGGACAGTATCTGCTTGAGGAGAAGACGTTGAACAGAACAGAACAGAATCTCTGACAATCTGTGTAGGATCTCGAGGACCAACAATTTTTAAAAAGAGGACAGAATTAAAACCAAGGTCAATTTGAATAAAAAACAGCGCATCGGGTTGATGCCTCCTCATATGTAAAGTGTGGAGTCTTAACTTCTCCAAAGCAAGAGAATAGCTGTAGTAGGCTAGAGAATTGAAGCCAATAAAACAGAGGGTCGCAAACCTCTTTTGGTCGCCTTCCAGTTTGTTGAAGTCAGAGGACGTAATTGAATTCCAGAAAACGGCCTTACATTTAAGCGTAGATCTAACTAACGTAATGTATAATCTCTGCATACTCGTACATTCAAATGATAAAGAGGGGGATGTAAAGCTACAAACTGGAGCCAGCAGCTTAACACCATGAGGAAGAGCATGATTGATGTGGTTATGAAAATAATAAAGAAAAATTCCAAATCTTTAAGAGAAACGGTCCGGTTTGAAGAGAATAAACAATGTTTATAATCAGAAACCAATTTGTTGGTTTCCCTAGAAAATGATATAACTTTAGTTTTACTGACGTTGAATTCCAGTAAATCAGCACTGCACAAAGCTTGTGTAGAGAAAATATCCAACTGTAGCAGATCGCAGTACGAGTATTCAGTAGGTTTGATTGTTCAACTTCATGGAATTGTGCCATCTTTTATTTATTCTTAAGCTACGAAATTTAAGGTGTCTTCACTTTAAAAGCGAAGTACTAGAAATGCTGTTTTCTATACACGCACTCACAGCCGCCNAAACGGTCCGGTTTGAAGAGAATAAACAATGTTTATAATCAGAAACCAATTTGTTGGTTTCCCTAGAAAATGATATAACTTTAGTTTTACTGACGTTGAATTCCAGTAAATCAGCACTGCACAAAGCTTGTGTAGAGAAAATATCCAACTGTAGCAGATCGCAGTACGAGTATTCAGTAGGTTTGATTGTTCAACTTCATGGAATTGTGCCATCTTTTATTTATTCTTAAGCTACGAAATTTAAGGTGTCTTCACTTTAAAAGCGAAGTACTAGAAATGCTGTTTTCTATACACGCACTCACAGCCGCCCCTGTGTCTAAACCTAATCTCTGGATGGGATGTAGGACAAGTGAGGCTGTACAGGAAATGAATTACACAATTCGCTCCCTTTAATTCACAGAGAAATGTCTGATGCCGGAAGCAGCGTCATCAGCAGCGACTTGAAGCAAAGAGCAAATGATGCTCGAGATGGTTCGAGTTCGTATAGCAACAGGCGTGACCAGAGTGGTTTGAACGGCTGTTGTACTGCGATGTGGAAAGCAGATGGAAAAACTACCACCTTATCACTTTTCCTGGATATTCTCTTATCAAAAACAGAGGCACCATATATGCGAACCAGAAGAAGAGGAAGAAGACGTAAGAAGATGCTGGATGACGTTGGGGACAGAAGAGGATATTCTCATTTGAAGGAGAAAGCTCTAGATCGCATTAAGTGGAGGAACTGTTTTGGAAGAGACTGTGGACCTGTCGTCTGACATTACTGAGGAATGAATGAATCAAATATACACGAGACTGGGTAGGACCCAGAACTGATGTGAATTTGGAGGCAAACAGAGACGTTACTGCCACGAACCTAATCTAACGGTTAGTCACTTTGTGGATACACATTTCTGCTCACAATAACTCAAAGCTATGCAGATAATAAATTTAGGTCAATATTGTAAGGCAACGTACACTTGCAGAAAGAATTCTGGAGCGTTTCTCTGTTACATTGATTCTAGAAAATGTCCGTACTGATTAATTTTTCGAAAACAGTAAGACGTAAGGGGTGTGTGAGTATAAACTTAAAACCATTTTTCCAATGTATGCGTTTTCGTCTTTCATGCAAGTTAATTTTGAAGTTTTAATTCAAACTTGAATTTTTCATGTAACCTTCCTATTTTACATAGTATGTTTCCACAAGAAATAATCTAAAATATTTATTTCTTTTCCTTTTATAATGTCTGTTCGAAATACATTTTCCATTAAAATATTCAGTAGCTTTGAAACTTCCTTTAACTTCCGGTAAAGGAAGGGGCAGGAAGAAGAGAATATCTATTAACATTCTTATTTGAACAGCAATTAACGGGTATTGAAAAATAACTTTGTAATAAAAGAGTAGATCAAGTTAATTGCCCACAAGATAACTCACAGCAAGACTACATTACAGTGAGTTTAGTTGAAGCAGTGTCTGTTGATGTCTTCCGGTTTCTGCAAGAGAATATGTCTGACGCTTCCCAATACGTAAGATTCGAACGATACCTTACACCAAATATCGAATACATATTCTGAAAGGAATCAAGTACCTATACAGACAGTAATAAAGAGGTACATTAATTATCAGGGAGTAGCAATAGCTCGTTTCATGCCAATGAAATAAATGTTCCCGAATTGGAATTTTGTTACTTTATAAAAACAAACTAATGGAACATCATTTATGCTTCTTCCATTTTAATTTAATTTTATGATGGAATTTCCCTTGCCCCGAACTTATATACTGATATGATACAAAATTATTAAAATGATTTGGTTGACAAAATATTATATATTTTGAAACGGTTACAGTTTCGAACACAAAATAACTTGAAACAACGAGGACACTAATGAAGCTTCGGCTAGTAATCTCAGTTGTAAGATGTCAACCGCGAGAGGCGTTCCGATCACTCTCAAAAGAAAATGGCGTTTCGTGTGCGGTAGGCTTCAGTAGGTCGAGCAGCACCAAATGTTTGACCCATTAGATATCCGGACATTGTTTTCCATATGGAAAATGAGTACAAGTGGATTTTAAAAGAAATCATAAAATACATTATACGCGTGACTTTAACAATGACAAGAAAAGAAAGTGACTCCTCGAAAAGCCATATACGCATGGAGTTTGGCAAAATGAAGTTTACTAATATTGTCTACGGGTAGGCGATTGGAAATGGATCTTGTCAGAAAAATATAATTTAATTATATCAGTCATTTATGAGAACCCAGTCTGTACAGAATATAACGGAATACATGTTAAATTGATAAAGCAGTAGCAGTTTCCTTTATCTTTAAAGAATGTTTATTATTTCATGTGTGAGAATAAGTAAAGATTTGTAATAGTGACAGTGTATCTATCACGGATGTTCAGTTAAATCATATTAAGCACAATATATGTTATATATTGGTATCTATATAACCAGCCAAATTACACAGAGCTTGATGTTCTTTGGCCTGTGTAACGTTCCAGCGAACATGCAAAATTATTGAATATTTCTCTTACTACAAATTACACGTTTTCACTACAAATCTTTAATTCATTTTAATTCCTCCATAACATCTTCTTTTTGCTTCATCTGCAGCAAAAACATGAAGAGAGAGACAGACTCTTGCATCATCTGTGGACACAGAGATATAANATATATGTCTATGTCGCCAGTGTTCATATCGCGTGATGTTCAATCAAAGAGGCGATTCCAACTTTAAATTTACTTATTAATAAAGAAAACTTCTTCAAATATACCTTCGAACAAGGTGAAACCCTTTCCTTGTATTTTCGCAACTGTGTAGCACTCTACATTCAAACATGGCGATAGACCATCTGTACTACAGAATGTGACGTTCACATATAATTTCTGAAGAACATCTGTGCAGCACACGTCATAAATATTCGATTTATCAGACTGTGTTGGAAAGTGCTTCTTACGTGCCTTTATATAAAGAAAACATAATCTTACGTTCATCATGGTCGCCTTGGATACGGGGACAAATTTCCCAGCAGTCAGCACGAATTCCTTATTAGCCATTTTAATGATGAAACTGAGACAGCGCATGAACGGAAGAGGAGTTCCCACCCAGTCACAGCCCCAGGCAGCGTCTCTCACTCTCTCAGCCTGCAACATTGCATAACAGGTTCACAATGTGTGCAAGAAAATTTTTTAGGAATACGTAAACCCGGTTACTGAATAATTTTGCTGCCGAAATAAAACTTGCTATAAGAATGCTTTAGAAGCACAATAGACCACTGTAGGTCGCGGTTCAAGGGCAGAGAAGGCCCACCCCTTATACATTCATATATTCAAGTATGCTTTACAGCACCCATGTATTTTCTGATATACGTCATAGGTACTTGAAAAGGAAACAGTTCTTTAAATGACAAATTCCCAGAACTTTTTGAATAACTTTTCTGCTAGTTCCATTATAGAACGAAGATGTATGCTGTTATTTTCATGAGGAATTTAAAAAATAATCGGACATGTTAACGTGATAATTTTCTTAACTTCTTTTAACCCATGCTGCTATTCTACGCTCCAAAGATCCCGTCCCAGTCACTTCCTTGTTCCGCAATTCAAAGTATTGTGGATGATTTTTTAAAGATTTTTTCAATACCAAGGCTGGAGAGTCACCACTTGTCGCTCTTCGGGGTTAGGTGTAGTGTATATTCGTAGCTATCCTCCACACCTCGAGACCCACGCTTCCGTTCCCAGCCTGAGGATGTACTGTTCCGCAGTATATATGTGCAGAATGCAGTCCAACTATACATAAACTAATGTACATGTTACGTCTGTTACAATATGAATGTAGTATTAGCTAAGTGCATTATCTTTTTACTTTGGGATACTTTCCTGGTCACTCAGCTCGCTTCCAAACCAGCAGAAAACAAACACGTTTATAGCATAGAAGCTGTAAATAACAATGGTCTGGGAGAGCTGCAGTAAATCTCCCAGTCTCTGAAACACAGCAAAATGCATAGCAGTTTAATTGCTATTGCAAACAAACAAACAATCAAAAACAAACTCCGTAATTTTAGTCGGCAAGCGAACTATACCGACCGAGCGACCGCCGCTTGTCAGCGAAGATTATGCCAACTTTTGCGGATAGAGGTTGTCGCGTGGTCAGCGCAACGAATCCCCATGGCCGTAATTGCTATTACATTCAGGTTTATTCAACATACATAAACAGGTCATTACAAGGAGGACATCGAGTTAGGTTATGTGCTTGTGGCATGCATCACTCATCTTGCAGATGGCAAATGTGTAATAAATCTGATCCGTACACATAACGGCACGACGAAACATCGGACACCAGAGTTTACATTGGAGAAAAGTATTGATGTGAAATTTAAATGCAACAAAATACGACAAATACAAAACAACTCCGTCCAGTGTGACTATATAAGTTTTACTTGAAAACTTTTGTGTATATTTTGTATTCCAGGCATTGTGTGTACGTAATTTAACACTCAGAACACCTATTGTGATAGTAGTTTCCAAATAGGTACTGATGTTCCCTCTGAAGATGATCTGTAAGGATCGAAACATGTAAGGGTTCTAAGTTTTCAAGTAGTAAAACTTAAATTGTCACATTGGACTGTGTTGTTTTGTCTTTGTAATTTTTAGTGTGACGAACCAGAATGAAACAAATCAAATTAATATAAGGAAGGACTGGATTCATTAGTAAGAGAATATGATCGAATGACTGGCTCTCATGGGCTTTATAATGGACTTTCGGTTCCCACTAAGGACAGGTAATTTCTTGACAAGTTGATATTACCTTCCCGAGAACTATTCTAACTGCACGAAATTTATTAGGCAATGTACAGATTTGTCCTCTGTGGATTATACATAGTCCTAACTCTATTTATTTGATATCGTCATTTTTAAGCACTCGATCCCTCTGTTGCATCAACATTAGTGAAACTTCAAACTGGTCTTACAATGCTTAACTTACATAACTAAATTAAAAATTAATACCAGATAATACAAGAACAAACAATATTATGTCATCCAGTGCCCCTGAAGCATAACATTCTTTCCACAGAACTTCGGTAAAGCTCCACATGATTATGTTCATATGCACTCACTTGAATCAAATTTTGTGTCACGATTCTATATTTTGCATTATGTTGCCCAACTATATAAGTATAATGGTGTACATCTCATTACCAATATATAGAATTATATTTAAGAGGCCGACAGAAAAAATTATTGATTTTTTTTCAAAAAGATCTGTGTGAAAAAAAAACAATAATTTTAAACTGTACCTTGTCTGTTGAGAAATGTTACAGTTCATTTCCAATTTGTGTCATGTTCACAATGAACGAGTTATATTTCAAGTCAGCAACGCAATGCCTCTATATTCTCGTTTAGCTTCAGTATTCGGCTTTCAACTCCGTCGCATGTAGAAACGGTTCCCATATATACACACTTGCAGCTTGTAAGCGTAGGGATTAATTACATGAAAGAGCGAGAAATGAAGTGTGGTATCATACAGTGACGGAGGTCCAGCCAAAGTCTCTTCTGTACAAAGTCTCTGCAATACCTGGACGTACAGAGAGGTCTTGTCGGTAACGCATTAACATAAAAGTTATATTGTCTTGCGTGGCATATATAGAGAAACGTGCATGTACATATGAAGTCTACAATAGGAAACATCGGAAATGGGCCAGACACGTAACCACAAATCCGTGACTAGACAAGATCAGAGTTTTGTCACGAGGCCCAGATGTGGCTCAACACCAAGATTGACTGCCTCAATTCAGTCGTAACGTGAATGTGGCTCCTTACCTCCGGACGAAATCTATCGGTAGAGTTGTCCCTTCCACTTCACACTTGCACAGAAGATGGTAAATATGTGTTACAGATTGAACCCACAACTTGACTGAACTTATGAAGTGTAAGTGCTTCAATGGACTCAAGTTAGAACGATGATTTTTTTCTAATTAGATTATTATACATCATAGAAAAAATATTAGTACTAATTGCAGTGAATTACCGTAACAGCTGTGTATGCAGTAAAGCAGAGACCGCACATTAAGTTGAGAAAATAACCTGCTAAGAACGGGTTGAACATCTCTTCAATTGCACGAATGTATCTGCCAATAGAAATAAAGAGGAATCAGATTTTCACATTAAGTGATTAGTGAATCGATGAGCTGAAATGTGTCAAGAGATGTGGAATATGGAGTCAATATGTGTTTAATGTGTGCGTACATTTCTGCTTTCTTCTTTCAATGAAATACGATGTATACGATATCAAAAAATTTTCCACGAGAGTTAGATAAAGCCACATATACCTTGTGTTTTCGAAGCCACATTCAAACTGAAAAAGATCACAGATATATCAATCATTACTCGTAAATCTGAGGGTCAAACCAGGTGCTCAGTGCGACCGAGTTCCCTTTAGTCATACACTTTGTTCACCATATACTCATATAATCCGGGGGTCGTCATTTTATCAAACTTTCTCTCTCATTAATAGATCAACCCTCTCGCGTGCACGTTTGAAAAATTTAACTGATGTTTAAGTACGGATATCTGGTTGGCCATGCAAAGAACTCTTTTGAAGGCTACAGTTTTAACATTATCACACCGTGGCTATCACTGGTTTTTCCTTCCATCCGTGAAATTCTACAGATAGTACTTCTGCGATACCGACAATTTGAAGGTGTGAACATTTATATTCTTAAACCCTGAGTCATTCAAGAAGTGTTACTCGGATTAGATATATCATAAACATGAATTACTTTCAATGTCATTTAACAGCAACAGATTAAAGAACATCTTGCCTTGTGAAATCTACCTGTTGATAAATTCTTATTTAACTGACAGCAATTTTCAAGCCAAAATTGAAAATACACGTGTACACTCCGGCTACCACCCCATCAATTCGGGGGTTCCATAGGGTAGTGTTCTTGGCCCCTTTTTATACCTAATCTATACATCTGACACCCCAAGCACACGACATAACACTGGCTATGTTTGCAGATGACACTGCAATTCTATCTTCTCATAAACACCCTAATGTGGCAGCAAAAACATACAGCAATACCTCAATGCCCTCCAAGATTGGCTACAACTCTGGAAAATCACAGTGAATGTCGAAAAATCAGTGAAAATAACATTCATCACAAAACGGAGCTCGTGCCCACAAATCACTATAAACAATGCACCCATCCCTATACAATCTACAGTCAAATATCTTGGACTTCACCTTGATCAAAAGCTCACATGGAAGACCCATATCCGGCCAAGAGATTACAACTATCAAAAAAGTGAGAAACATGAGCTGGTTAATTGGCAGAAAATCCCAGCTATCATTGGAAAATAAACTTCTTATTTACAGAACTATACACACACACACACATATGGGCGTACGGTATAGAACTGTGGGGCTGTAGTGAGCCATCCAACACCAAAATCCTATAAACATTCCAGTTAAAAACACTACGTTACATAATTAACGCTCCGTGATTCGTATCAAATCAAATTCTCCACGAAGCTCTTGGAGTTCCTTATATAAATGAGGTCATAAACAAACAAGCCAACAAATACAGAAACCGCATTGTGGATCATGAAAACCAACTAATAAAAGAACTCGCCCTTCAACCCTTAGTGAACAGAAGACTCAAACGTCAATGGCCAGAAGACCTGTTCTAGGTAACGGAGAATAACCCATCAGTGGATGGTACTCCCTACAAGTCACGCAACGTTCTAACATTTGTATTTGTACATTATGAGTAGATTGTAAATATCCTAAAATAAATAAATAAAATAAAAATAGCAACAGATACTGGATGGACAAGAGGAACTAGCTAAGCTAAGATCTCTTTATTTGGGTTTTTCCGTATATATCTACAAAAACACAAGTCGGTTTATGACACATTTTTTTATAAAAGAGAACACATGAAGTAAACTAATATTTAAGAAAATTTGCTTACTCTATGATTAGCTGGTGATGACGTATGCATTCGGTGAGCTGCTCCTGCATGCCGCAGAACACTTCCTGAGATGGCTGGACTTGTCTTCCTTCCCCTTGGGCAGTCTCAGCGCCCGAGTCGAGTTTCTGTCTGATATCCAGGAGGTTCGCTCTTAGCTTCTCCAGCTGACTGCACGCGATAGACACCAATGTACCGTAAAAGGCAGGCAACCCATACAGGAAACATATCCATTGAACACTAGCGATGCCCTATAAAATAACACAGAGCAATCTAAAAATGAAGAATCACATACTGGAAATGATGATCGATGCAAGAAATATATGAAATTTTCTTATTGAAATTATTCATTAATGTCACTATAAGACATTATCACTATCTTATCGAACTCTAAATGTCGCGACTGTTCGCCTGTCAGTTAAAAGCAACCGGCCGAAGCCGAATAAGGAAATGCACATACAAATATGTTGTAAAATATTCGTCCATATTTCATAGATTGTGTCCCTTGGCGAAGAATTTAAGCTAGAGAGATGATAGTTTCATAGCCAGTTTTGATTTTGCACTGAAAAATTTTTATGATCAACTGCTAAACTGTTGGGTCTAGTTCGTAACATTACTTTCAATTTCTCATCTCCAGACTGTATGTTCAGATTGTATTGTATTGACGTATTCGGAGCCAGGAATGTTCTCCCCAAACGATTTTTAAATATAGTATAACTGATAGTATTGTGACGTATATGCGCTATTCAGGACGCCCCCTCCCCTGCCAGGGGTGACGTAACAGCGCTGCCGCAGCTACGGTGACGGGCCGGTCAGTGCTTCGCCCCTTCCCCCGCGGTGACGTGGCAGCGCTTCCCACTGTGACGTTGCAGGTGATAACAGTGACCTAGCGGGGGATGTAGCGGTTGCTATGCAGCAATAAACAACTTTCGATAACATTCCCAGCAACACCTGTAAACATGGCGACTAGGCAACAAGGAAGCGAGGCGTTTTCCCGTTGTCTGGCTGAGGATTGATAAGAGAACTGCACTGCCTAAGAAGACGGTTAAAATCTAGCAGCCGCATTAAATCTAGCATTATTATATTGTCCTCTCCTGATGGAAAATTTATTCTGCTCCACTCAATATAGACCCGTAAATGATTATTTCACCACGGTCACTATTTCTCACCTGTGCAATGTTCATCAGCTCGTAGGTGGGGCTTTTGGTTATATCGAATGGATACCATGTTCCATAAATCATAGGACGGTCTTCACTTGTTAACAAGCGTATTGAGCTTTGAGTCACATGGAAAAGACTGGCGACGCTTGTAAGAAAAAATGAAATTTTTTGGACACGCGGGATCCATGCCGCCATTGCTAGGGATCCAGTCTCAGGATCAATGTGGGGTAAATCTTCCCAGATGAATGCATCCGTGAGCCTCAAAATGCGCACTAGACCAGCCCTCCGAAACCTGCAGAAAAATAGAGATACTCGTCGCCTCCCATAATGATTTAAATAGAATAAACATGACAGTCTACATTATCATCTTCTGTGAGTAATAAATTAAGTATTTTTACATGCATTAGATAAAAATTACTATAAGATTCAAACTGTTATTAATGAATAAAAATTCATCGTAATGGAGTTAATGTTAACACACATGCAACGACATGCTAAGTATTCTTAAAATAATTCATGATTCACCACTAAGTAAATAAGAATACATTCACTAAGTACGAGCATAACTCTAGAAACTTCATCACCTGAAATACAATTGTGAATAACTTGCAGATGAGAAAATAAGGAGTAGCATAGCTTCATTTAAGGCATTATCCATATCCTCTCTATGATGGTATATCGCCATGGAAAAGNCTGCTCCTTTCCTTCAGACTTGACAGATTTCACAGATACGGTTGCCTTAGCGTCTGATGTTCAAGAGTTGTAACGCCGTACTGGGTTCTAGCAGTACGCCTGCTTGGAAACCTTCATGTCGAAAGAGTAGTTTTATACAAGATGATAGGAATTATTGATTACTAAATTCTTCTGTCCTTTACTAATAATTGTGGAACTTCTATCGCTCTATCCTGTGTACATAAAAATTCAAAAGATCCCAACTTTGTGTTGTTCTGTTAAAAATATTTAATTTTATAATACTCCGGGCGAACTGGTAATGACCGCATAATTGTGTAGTAGTTTGCCTATAAACCAGCTTTGACTGTACCAGAAACTCCATTAAAAATGAAACAATGCTGTCATGCATTCAGAGTATTATAATTATTGGAGTTACATATATAGAAAATTATCTCGAATGAACGTAATTGATAACTAATTTGAAATATGAACTTCTAAAACCAAAGTTCAAACAGAAAACAAAGTAAGATATAGTTAGTGGACCAGTATTACGATAAATAGTCCATATAATTGCATATTGGTTGCAAAGGCATAAAGTAAATTAAAAATTAAAGCTGTCCTTGTGCTCAATAAATTCAGCCCCATGCCGTGAAGAATAATGAGAATTGGGGTTGTTGCTACTAATTTAGCGAGCTTTATTGTATCTATTCGGAATATGCACCAAATTACTCAATATTTTATATTTATTTTATTTTATTGTGTTAGACTCATGAACAAAAGTTCTCAATAACATGTGAAATAATATTCGGTGTATATTGGTATTTTCTCCTTATTTCATTTAATGAATAATTTTACGTAAATGTAAGCAATCTTTTCCAAAATGAGGGAAACATACTAAATTAAATATAGTCTTACAAAACCACCATGCTGTCCGTGTATTTGTGTGCCTGTTTACCTCACACACCAACTCCAGAACGCCTGACCCTATCTTTATAAATCTCGGCATGTACATCAATTCACCTCACCCAATCTCCATAGCGAACTTCATAAATTCCTGCCATCAGTCTGTGTCTATATGCATGTCCCCCTACCGTTGATAAGCAACGGCTCAGTAAAAGTGTGAAAATGTAAGCCAACCAAGAAACAAGAAGATACAAAAAGCAAGCAGAGACGTTGTTCATAGCCCATGATGTTGAAATCACAAATCCAACAAAATAATTTGTATTGGTGTTTAAGCCTGTAATAAACTCAGGTTCCTTCAGAATATTAATGACGACAATTTTGTTGTCAGTAAACAGAGAATCTCAAATATTACCAGATACAAAAAAATTCAGGTAACTTTTGTCATATTTACTTTAAATTACTTACAATAAATTTTAATAACATTTCGGATAATTTATATGTTTTGATAACATATATAAATTTAAAAATATTCCTTGCATTTACTTAAAATAGAGGATACATATAAATCATACAGCTATTAGGCCTACTCGTATATTCAAATGCAATTAGTTCTAATACGATATATAAGGCTCTGAGTTACTGTGTTCCGGAATTTGTCAAACACATAGTATTGTAAAAAAAGTATAACGTTAGAAAATGGCCAGAGCTCAAAACTCACTAAGGCTTAACTATAAAATAAATAGAATTGCAAATATTTGCTTGCTTGCGTCTTCAATAAGAAATTTATGTATAACTTCTTGAATTTCTATGAAAATTGCAACCATTGTTATATAATATTTCATGGTGTTAACTTTCCATTCTTCGTCCCTCTTGCTGTCCAGTCCAACGTCTTGCTGAAAGACACGACAAGACCCGCGTTTAATGCCTTCTCAAATGAATATTAAGCAACATAAACATAAACATAAACGTAGCAATGCAAGGTAACATCCGTTTCTGCTTCTGTTTTCCCCAAAAGGTAACAAAACCTCACAGCAGAACGTTGTTCGTCAGAATCAGCCATTAAAAACAGACGAATTATAAAAAAGTCACTTGAGAAAGAATTCACCAAACAATAGCGCAAACGTCTCTGGCGACGCCAGCTGGCATAGTGATTCAGGAAGTTCCTGCAAACAACCATCTAGAGGTGGAAACCTGTACTACAAGCGCCCCACCTTCTAGAAGCAAATCCCGTTTCCATTTTTGTGTCCCCCTTCGTATGTATATGTGTGTGTCCCGGTTAAATTGGTTTCAGCCGTTTCACTAACTTTCACTACGCTTGGAAGTATATTATTATACAGCGGTCTTGTAAGTTACAAATTGATTTACAATCCACGGAGCGAATTTCCCTGGAGGGCCCCGAATAGCTGGTATGTGAATTCGCAGGATATTGTAATGTGTTATATATTTTGTAAAGTAATATAGCACAACTGAATTGATTAAAATTATCAAAATCAGGTCGATCGTTTATTTAAATTCTTGGAGTTTTTCGACGTAACTAATTATTATTAAGTGATAAGCCTCATATTATCTTCACTTTAGAAGCGAAGAACTGGAGGGGCTGTTGTTCCCATACACGCATACACAGCTGCCCCTGTGTCTAAACTTAATCTTTGGATGGGATGTAGGACAAGTAGAGTAAGTTCACACGCTCCACGTCCCTCCCTCGGCTGTACAAGAAATGAATTACACACTTGGCTCACTTTAATTCACATAGAAATATCTTTCATTATCCAATATACAGGCAGCTGGGTAGGCCCCAGAACTGATGTGGACTTGGAGGCAAACAGAGACGTTCCTGCCACGAACCTAACCCAAAGGTCAGTGACTTTGTGGATACACATTTCTGCTGACAATACCTTAAACCTGTGCAGAAAATAAATTTACGTCAACAATCTAAGGGAACGTACGTATGCAAAAAGAATTCTGGAGCATTTCCCTGCTACATTGCTTCTAGACAATGTCCGTACTGATTAAATATTTCGAAAACCATAAAACCTAAGGGGTGTGTGCATATAAGCCTAAACACATTTTTCCCAAGTATTTGTTTTCGTTTTAATGCAAGTTAATTTTGAAGTTTTAATTCATACTTAAATTTTTAATATAACATTCCTATTTTACATAGTATATTTCGACATGTAACATTCTAAAATATTTATTTCTTTTCCCTTTACAATGTCTGTTCGAAATACATTTACCATTAAAATATTCAATATTCCTTTAACTTCCGGTAAAGGAAGGGGCAGGAAGAAGAGAATATCTGTTAACATTCTTATTTGAACAGCAATTGACGGGTATTGAAAAATAACTTTGTAACTAACGAGTAGATCATGTTAATTGCCCGCAAGATAACTCACAGCAAGACTACATTACAGTGAGCTAAGTTGAAGCAGTGTCTGTTGGTGTGGAAGAAATCTTCCGGTTTCTGCAAGAGAATATGTCTGACGCCTCGCAATACGTAAGATTCGAAAGATACCATACACAAAATACCGAATGCATATTCTGAAAGGAATTAAGTATCTGTACAGACAGTAATAAAGACGTACATTAATTATCAGGGAGTAGCAATAGCTCTTTTCATGCCAACGAAATAAATGTTCCCGAATTGGAATTTTGTTACGTTATAAAAATAAACAAATGGAACGTAATTTATGCTTCTTCCATTTTTTGATTTTATGATGTAATTTCCCTTGCCCCGAACTTATACTGCTTTGATACAAAATTTTTTAAATGATTTGGTTGACAAGAAGTTTCAAACAAAATAATTTGGAAACAAGGACGATAATTAAGTTTCCGTTGGAAACATCAACTGCAGCATATCAGACGTCAGTACTGCTATCATCGCTGTCAAAAGAAAATGGCGCTTCGTGTGCGGTAGGCTTCGGTAGGACGAGCAGCACCAATTGTTTGGCCCCTTAGAGACCCGGACCTTGTCCCATATGAATTCTACCCATGTAGAAGAAGATAAGGTTTAGGTACATGAACGTCCCATGCTACCGTCCCTTCGAAATTTCGAAACTGGATCTCATAGTCCGTATCCAACTTCGAAAAATTACCGTTGCCCCCCACATAAAATGAATTCAAATATCGAGCTGACAGTTGAACAGTAATTAATTAAACAACTATCGTACAACAACTGAAAAACTTAATGGTTGTCAATGCAGATTTCAAATGGTTTCATTACTGTATCTGTAACCAACTCCAAAATACACTAAACTTTATCACCCACAAACAAAACTCCTTGACTTTAGTCCGCAACCGAACTATACCGACCGAGCGACCGCCGCTTGTAGGCGAAGTTAGCGCCAAATTTAGCGGATAGAAGGTGTCGTGTGGTCAGTGCAAGGAATCCACAAGGCCGTTAATCTCGGTTTTCTAGACGGGAGCTGATATTTCCTTCAAATAGCTCCTCAGTTATAATCTCGAGGCTGAGTGGACCCTGTTCCAGACCCACTACTTCTCAGAAAATATCTGGTGGCACCGGGAATCGAATCCTGACCTCTGTACTTGTAGCCAGGACCTCTGACCACTAGACCACAGAGGCGGTCACTTACAATATTTAAAATAAGCCTGAACATAATTTTTGATACGAAGACATATAATATAATGAGGACATAATACACGCAGTAGTTGGTGTTGTACAAAGAACCGTCTCGTCGAAACTCCATAATGTTGTAATATTTAATTAGGTTAATGTATATAATTCACTATTATTTTTAGATTGTTATGAGAATCCAGTCTGTACAGAATGTAACGGAATATATGTTAAATTGCTAAAGCAGTAGCAGTTTCCTTTATCTTTAAAGAATATTTATTATTTGATGTGTGAGAATAAGTAAAGATTTGTAATAGTGACAGTGTATCTATCACGGATGTTCAGTTAAATCATATTAAGCACAATATACTCGTATGTTATATATTGGTATCTATATAACCAGCCAAATT